TGATGGGGAAAAAGGAGACTGTGAAGATGTGTCGAGTTGTGTGTAGCTTGTCACCCCCATTTTGACTAAAAAGAATTGGGGAATTTCAAACTTGATGCTGAGTAATGAATTGTTGAATATTTAACATGAATGTTTCCTGCATGTGGGACAATACTGTATAGTATAACGATGGGTATAATAATAGGTTGGTGAATCTTCCAAATACCACGGATGTAGAAAATAAAATTGATAAAAGTGAGGTCTGTGCAGTCAGAGGGCCGTGGGCAGAGGCAGGTAAGCCTTGTGACTGGCTGAGTGGTGGTTGTTCTTACTGGAGATACAGTGCCTCGCGAAAGTATTCAACATTTCGCCACATTTCAGGCTTCAAACATAAAGATATAAAAATTACATTTCTTGTCAAGAATCAACAACAAGTGGGACACAATTGTGAAGTGGAACAACATTTATTGGATAATTGAAACTTTTTTAACAAATAAAAAACTGAAAAGTGGGGCGTGCAATATTATTCGGCCAGGTCTCAGGTCTTTTGCAGATTCCAACAGGTTTTCTTCCAGAATGGTCCTGTCTTTGGCTCCATCCATCTTCCCATCAATTTTAGCCATCTTCCCTGTCCCTGCTGAAGAAAAGCAGGCCCAAAGCATGATGCTGCCACCACCATGTTTGACAGTGGGGATGGTGTGTTCAGGGTGATGAGCTGTGTTGCTTTTACGCCAAACATATCGTTTTGCATTGTGGCCAAAAAGTTCCATTTTGTTTTCATCTGACCAGAGCACCTTCTTCCACATGTTTGGTGTGTCTCCCAGGTGGCTTGTGGCAAACTTTAAACAAGACTTTTTATGGATATCTTTGAGAAATGGCTTTCTTCTTGCCACTCTTCCATAAAGGCCAGATTTGTGCAGTGCATGACTGATTGTTGTCCTATGGACAGACTCTCCCACCTCAGCTGTAGTTATCTGCAGTTCATCCAGAGTGATCATGGGCCTCTTGGCTGCATCTCTGATCAGTCTTCTCCTTGTTTGAGATGAAAGTTTGGAGGGACGGCCGGGTCTTGGTAGATTTGCAGTGGTCTGATACTCCTTCCATTTCAATATAATTGCTTGCACAGTGCTCCTTGAGATGTTTAAAGCTTGGGAAATCTTTTTGTATCCAAATCCGGCTTTAAACTTCTCCACAACAGTATCTCGGACCTGCCTGGTGTGTTCCTTTGTCTTCATGGTTCTCTCTGTGCTTTAAACAGAACCCTGAGACTATCAAAGAGCAGGTGCATTTATACGGAGACTTGATTACACACAGGTGCATTCTATTTATCATCATCAGTCATTTAGGACAACATTGGATCATTCAAAGATCCTCACTGAACTTCTGGACTGAGTTTGCTGCACTGAAAGTAAAGGGGCCCAATAATATTGCACGCCCCACTTTTCAGTTTTTTATTTGTTAAAAAAGTTTAAATTATCCAATACATTTCGTTCCACTTCACGATTGTGTCTCACTTGTTGTTGATTCATGACAAAAAAATAAAATTTTATATCTTTATGTTTGAAGCCTGAAATGTGAGGAAATACTTTCGCAAGGTATATACAACCAGAAAAGCATTTGTTTGCCTTAGGAAAATAATCTTTTTACAGGACATATTTCTTTAACTGTTTCAACGCTTCAAACTTGTTGCCCGATCATGAACCCTCAGACTATGACATCATCCTTAGACGGGACACAACTCGGGACTTTTATGGACAAATTGGTTAACCAGTTATCCTATGGACCAATGTCTTATGCTTAGGTGTTTTAATGTAGTATTTCTTAAGTGTTCTAATTGGTGGATTAATACTGATCTTCCACTTAACCACTATTTTTCTTCATCATGGACAGAGCTGTTTATTGAACTTAAAGCCAATTAACATTTCTGGATATTATCTGTGAATATAACTGCTATCTCCCTCCCCTTTGCGACCTAAGTGATACAGTCATCGTAAAGCATTAATAGGTCCACTTCCTCAAAACTGTTGCCAAGAGGAGAGCTGTCCCGGGCCGCAGTGAATCTAATTAGTTCATCTTCTCAAGGAGAGAGCAGGCATCCAGGGAAGGAGACTGGGAGGAGAGCGAGTAGTTAGGTCTGCGAATCCACATAACAAGTTCCAAGGTAAGCGTGGCAGATGAAAACTTTTATTGTATTGAATATTTTTGCAAGAAATGACCTCTCTTTCCATAAATTACATTCTGATTTCGCTATTGCGCTTTGTCCTTTTGTCACTCGGAACAACGAGAGAGGAGAGTCAAGGTAAGTTTGTCATAAATGCACTGACAGTGGAAGAGAATACGTTTTTTAAGCAGCTTGTCCTTGGAAGAAATGATTGAGTTGAAGAGTTTCAGAAAGACTAATTGTGGTATTTGTAGCTGCAGAAAAATGATGGTAATGCAGTTGGAATGAGAAGATAGAGACAGAATTTGTAAATAAGATTACACATGTTATGCAAAATAGTTTCAAGTTCCATTCGTGCCAATATCAGGACCTTCTGCCACAAATACGTACCCCTCCCCCATGTGTACAAGGGCTCTTTTTTCAAGCTTGTGGTCCATGGAAGACGTGTGTTTTTTGACATATGTTGAAATGCTGTGTTGACCCAGAAGTGTGGTGGGAAATTTAGCAGTGTTGTTTGCACCCGTGTTGGCTTTTCAGCACACGGAAGACGAAAAAGTGTCAAAATAAAATTCAGACTTTCATAAACACCCAGATCAGAGGGAACTGTTTAAATCATAATGGACTGCAGCAAATGTATCCTCCACATAGAACAATATAAACACGTTCAAAGAGAAGCTCGCCCCGTGTTTGACTTGTGTGTAGTTTTTAACTTTATCCACATAAACAGGTTTCTGGTTTGATTATGGTTTTTACACGCCAGCCGATGAAAAAGGCAATCCAGGGTTTTGTGGCTTATTCTCTGTGGGAATTACCATATTATGAAAAATCCACATGGCCTCAAAGTTCATTCTGGGAACTTCTCATATAAAGTAATTTCCCTCTTCTACCACTAGACGGCGGTCTTGTCAGTTTCTTGTCATCTCTTACTTATTCACAAGAAATTCCTTCCCTTTCTAGAACATGCAATCCCAAAATAACATTCTCAAGATAGTGTTTAAAGCTCTCTTTTTTGTTTGTTTCATAAATTAATGTTTTTTGATCCGTCAGTTGTGAAACAGCCTTGATCTTTCAGCTGTTTCACAACTGACGGAGCAGCCATCTTCCTGTGGACTGCAGAAGATCAGTGAGGGACTGGTGCTCTGAGCGTTGGGTGGTAGTTCTCATTGCCACCCCCCCGACCCAGAAATGGACAAAGGGGTTGAAAATGAAATGAAATTAAATGAAAAATGTTTTTTGTCCCAACATAAAGGGTCTTGATTAAGAAACATTGAACAAATCTGAGCAGACTTCCTTATCATACGTCCTTTTCCTATAAGCAAACAGTTTATGCACAAACTTCTTTTTCAACCTTTCCTGATCATGAACCCTCTGACTGTCACATCCTTCTTAGACAGGGCATGACTGTTTACTGAGAGCTGATTGGCTAAGTTAGGGCTGGTACTGATCTGAAGATGTGACAAATTCGATTGAATCTGTACAGCCCGCATTCACAACAGCAGTCATCTCGGAGGACTAACAAAATTGTCAGTTCACCAACAACAGATAAGAGAATCAAACTAGAACACAGGGAATGTAACAACATGTTCATAAATGTTCATAAATGTCCCAAATCATCTCTGTTCCCTGCATCACTGGGAGTGGACTCAAAGGAATCTCAGTGGGAAAAACCTCAGTCCCACGTGAGCGAGAGTGCTCTCAATTTTCAGCTTGAGTGGGGTTTGCATGTTCTCCCCATGTCTGCGGAGGTTTCCTCGGGGGGCTCCAGTTTCCCCTACCTCTAAAAACATGCACAACAGGTATGAATGTAACGAGTGAGTGAATGGACGGTGTTGGATGAACGCTTTGATGCTCCAGTGTGTTCGGCATCTTGCTTCTGTCATCACCATGTGTGGCGCTATAGTGACCTTGGCCTGTAAAAACCCACTATACTGTATACATAAAGATTACTTACTTACACATTGAGAGAGAGAGATCCACTTTCATGGACAGACAAGCGATAGATCCAACCTCAGGTTGTAGATCCAGGGCTGAAGAGGCTCCAAGCTTGAGTCTAGGGAACAATGAACAACAGGTAAATAGCAATGAAGCAGACCTCAGTGACCGATAAAGAAGAGAGGCAAATACACTGCTGAAGTTACCATACTTGCAACATGACTGACAATGAGGACATATACTGTACACCTGAGGACTTTTAGCTTGACAGAGGCTGAAAATACATTTATGTGAAAACTAGTGCTGCTTTGAGAACGAGGAACTTGTTACTTTGATCTTCTTTCATTTATTCTTTTTGGTGGTTTGAGGTTTCAAATTAATGTTCTCCAGCTTTCATATATTTGTCTTTTGATCATAATCAAGTAATTTGGCAAAAAAAGAGCTTATATATTGATCAAATCGCCATCCCGACTTCAGGACTTTTCCTGCTCAGACTTGAGTACAAATTTCCAGTTCATCACTCATCCCTGCACCGCGAACAGCCAAGGGCAAAGTTTCCATCCGCTGACCATGAGCCATTCATATTTCCAAATCTATTTTGTAAAATGCTTCTGCCTAGTCACTGCTGCTCCAAGGCACAATCGCCGCGACCCAGAAACATCCCATTGATCTTTGTTAGAAAGGTTGGGCAATTTATTTCCCTCTGCCGTTCTAAAGTAAGAATTATTGAGCAACCCAAATATGCCCCCACGTCACCGTGCCCGCCCCATTGTTATAACTTGGCAACCAGATGCTGCGCAAACTTTAGCCGCAAAGGACTTTTTAATTAGCTTTAGGACATTTGGAGAGTTTCACAGGGAAGAATATACAGTACAAGTATATATCTCTGCAGCTCGCGTCAGCACCTGGACCCCCACAGCTGACCACTTCACCCCCACATCACCCGGACCCCCACAGCTGACCACATCACCCCCACATCACCCGGACCCCCACAGCTGACCCGGACCCCCACAACTGACCACATCACCCCCACATCACCCGGACCCCCACAGCTGACCACATCACCCGGACCCCCACAGCTGACCACATCACCCCCACATCACCCGGACCCCCACAGCTGACCACTTCACCCCCACATCACCCCGGACCCCCACAGCTGACCACATCACCCCCACATCACCCGGACCTCCTCCACCCTGCCACTCCTGCTCCTCCTCCACCCTGCCACTCCTGCTCCTCCTCCACCCTGCCACTCCTGCTCCTCCTCCACCCTGCCACTCCTGATCCTCCTCCACCCTGCCACTCCTGCTCCTCCTCCACCCTGCCACTCCTGCTCCTCCTCCACCCTGCCACTCCTGCCCGCACACTCCACTCCTCCTGCCACCCTGCTCCTGCTCCTCCTCCACCCTGCCACTCCTGATCCTCCTCCACCCTGCCACTCCTGCCCGCACACTCCGCTCCTCCTCCACCCTGCCACTCCTGCTCCTCCTCCACCCTGCCACTCCTGCTCCTGCTCCTCCTCCACCCTGCCACTCCTGCTCCTGCTCCTCCTCCACCCTGCCACTCCTGCCCGCACACTCCACTCCTCCTCCACCCTGCTACTCCTGATCCTCCTCCACCCTGCCACTCCTGCTTCTCCTCCACCCTGCCACTCCTGATCCTCCTCCACCCTGCCACTCCTGCTCCTCCTCCACCCTGCCACTCCTGCTCCTGCTCCTCCTCCACCCTGCCACTCCTGCCCGCACACTCCACTCCTCCTCCACCCTGCCACTCCTGATCCTCCTCCACCCTGCCACTCCTGCTCCTCCTCCACCCTGCCACTCCTGCTCCTCCTCCACCCTGCCACTCCTGATCCTCCTCCACCCTGCCACTCCTGCTCCTCCTCCACCCTGCCACTCCTGATCCTCCTCCACCCTGCCACTCCTGATCCTCCTCCACCCTGCCACTCCTGATCCTCCTCCACCCTGCCACTCCTGCTCCTCCTCCACCCTGCCACTCCTGCTCCTCCTCCACCCTGCCACTCCTGATCCTCCTCCACCCTGCCACTCCTGCTCCTCCTCCACCCTGCCACTCCTGATCCTCCTCCACCCTGCCACTCCTGCTCCTCCTCCACCCTGCCACTCCTGCCCGCACACTCCACTCCTCCTCCACCCTGCCACTCCTGATCCTCCTCCACCCTGCCACTCCTGCTCCTACTCCACCCTGCTCCTCTTCCACCCTGCCACTCCTGATCCTCCTCCACCCTCACCCTGCCACTCCTCCTGCCCGCACACTCCAGCTTTCCGCTGGCAAAAAAAAAGAGCTTATATATTGATCAAATCGCCATCCCGACTTCAGGACTTTTCCTGCGCAGACTTGAGTACAAATTTCACTCATCCCTGCACCGCGAACAGCCAAGGGCAAAGTTTCCATCCGCTGACCATGAGCCATTCATATTTCCAAATCTATTTTGTAAAAGGCTTCTGCCTAGTCACTGCTGCTCCAAGGCACAATCGCCGCGACCCAGAAACATCCCATTGATCTTTGTTAGAAAGGTTGGGCAATTTATTTCCCTCTGCCGTTCTAAAGTAAGAATTATTGAGCAACCCAAATATGCCCCCACGTCACCGTGCCCGCCCCATTGTTATAACTTGGCAACCAGATGCTGCGCAAACTTTAGCCGCAAAGGACTTTTTAATTAGCTTTAGGACATTTGGAGAGCTTCACAGGGAAGAATATACAGTACAAGTATATATCTCTGCAGCTCGCGTCAGCACCTGGACCCCCACAGCTGACCACTTCACCCCCACATCACCCGGACCCCCACAGCTGACCCGGACCCCCACAGCTGACCACATCACCCCCACATCACCCGGACCCCCACAACTGACCACATCACCCGGACCCCCACAGCTGACCACATCACCCGGACCCCCACAACTGACCACATCACCCGGACCCCCACAGCTGACCACATCACCCGGACCCCCACAACTGACCACATCACCCGGACCCCCACAGCTGACCACATCACCCGGACCCCCACAACTGACCACATCACCCGGACCCCCACAGCTGACCACATCACCCGGACCCCCACAGCTGACCACTTCACCCCCGTACTCAGACAGCTCCACTGGCTTCCTGTTAAACAACGCATTCATTTCAAAATACTCCTCACCACTTTCAAAGCACTTCACAACCTGCTCCTCCGTACTTATCTGACCTCCTCCACCCTGCCACTCCTGCTCCTCCTCCACCCTGCCACTCCTGCCCGCACACTCCACTCCTCCTCCACCCTGCCACTCCTGATCCTCCTCCACCCTGCCACTCCTGCTCCTCCTCCACCCTGCCACTCCTGCTCCTGCTCCTCCTCCACCCTGCCACTCCTGCTCCTCCTCCACCCTGCCACTCCTGCCCGCACACTCCACTCCTCCTCCACCCTGCCACTCCTGATCCTCCTCCACCCTGCCACTCCTGCTCCTCCTCCACCCTGCCACTCCTGCCCGCACACTCCGCTCCTCCTCCACCCTGCCACTCCTGATCCTCCTCCACCCTGCCACTCCTGCCCGCACACTCCACTCCTCCTCCACCCGGCCACTCCTGATCCTCCTCCACCCTGCCACTCCTGCTTCTCCTCCACCCTGCCACTCCTGATCCTCCTCCACTCTGCCACTCCTGCCTGCACACTCCACTCCTCCTCCACCCTGCCACTCCTGATCCTCCTCCACCCTGCCACTCCTGCTCCTCCTCCACCCTGCCACTCCTGATCCTCCTCCACCCTACCACTCCTGCTCCTCCTCCACCCTGCCACTCCTGCTCCTGCTCCTCCTCTACCCTGCCACTCCTGATCCTCCTCCACCCTGCCACTCCTGCCCGCACACTCCGCTCCTCCTCCACCCTGCCACTCCTGCTCCTCCTCCACCTTGACACTCCTGCTCCTCCTCCACCCTGCCACTCCTGATCCTCCTCCACCCTGCCACTCCTGCTTCTCCTCCACCCTGCCACTCCTGATCCTCCTCCACCCTGCCACTCCGCTCCTCCTCCACCCTGCCACTCCTGATCCTCCTCCACCCTGCCACTCCTGCCCGCACACTCCACTCCTCCTCCACCCGGCCACTCCTGATCCTCCTCCACCCTGCCACTCCTGCTTCTCCTCCACCCTGCCACTCCTGATCCTCCTCCACTCTGCCACTCCTGCCTGCACACTCCACTCCTCCTCCACCCTGCCACTCCTGATCCTCCTCCACCCTGCCACTCCTGCTCCTCCTCCACCCTGCCACTCCTGATCCTCCTCCACCCTACCACTCCTGCTCCTCCTCCACCCTGCCACTCCTGCTCCTGCTCCTCCTCTACCCTGCCACTCCTGATCCTCCTCCACCCTGCCACTCCTGCCCGCACACTCCGCTCCTCCTCCACCCTGCCACTCCTGCTCCTCCTCCACCTTGACACTCCTGCTCCTCCTCCACCCTGCCACTCCTGATCCTCCTCCACCCTGCCACTCCTGCTTCTCCTCCACCCTGCCACTCCTGATCCTCCTCCACCCTGCCACTCCTGATCCTCCTCCACCCTGCCACACCTACCCGCACACTCCGCTCCTCCTCCACCCTCACACTCTCCGTCCCCCCAGCCAGACTCATCACCGTGGGACACAGAGCCTTCAGCCACTCTGCCCCCAGCTCTGGAACTCTCTCCCCCCTGACCTCTGTACCATCGACCCACTCTTCAAATCCAGACTCAAACCCATCTGTTCAGACTGTCCTACCTCACCTAACACACACACACACACCTAACACACACACACCCACACCTAAAGCCTGGTTCACACGAGACGATTTTAAAATTGTCGGTGTGGTGCGCAGCCACACGGCAAAAATCACACAAACCACACACGAACCGATCCCCCCCCCCCCCCCCGAGTATTCACAGATCAGACGGAAATCTCAGGTCTCGCGAGATCAAGCGTGACTTCAGAGTAAACACACATGGCGGACGAAGAGGATGCATTGGCGATAGTTTGTTTTTATCGGAGAAAAGACGTAATGAAAAGAAAAGGCGATGGTCAAAGAAGTGTAGACAACACGAGCATGGACTATACTTGCTACATCGTGATATGGAGGCGTTTCCTCACCGCCTCGTCTCGTCTTCTGATTGGCTACACGCCGCAGTCATGGCAACGCGCACGTCTGTCCTCGGAGGACACCACACACGAAGAGAAATCGGGCCAAAACAATCCAACATGTTGGATATCCCCGATTTGAGATCGGGAGCAGTCTCGATGTCCTTCCGAGCGACGAGTGCAGTCTTAACACACCACACACGGCAGGATAATCTGTAAGACTTTGTTACGGAAATCGGAGCGTTTCTTAAGATTGTCGTAAGGGGTAAATCGGGTCTAAATCGGCCTAAATATCCTGCCGTGTGAACCAGGCTTAACACACACACGCACACACCTAACACACACACACACACCTAACACACACACACACACACACACATACCTAACACACACGCACCCACCATCCCATAATGCACTACTGTTTTAGTCTGTTGATCCTGTTTTTAATGTTTTTAATGTCCTGTACAGTGTCCTTGGGTGTTTTGAAAGGTGCTTTTAAATTAAATGTATTATTATTATTATTATTACAAGTGACGCATTATAAAACCTGGTACAGAATAATGTCAATCTAGGCATATTTGGATCACATTTTGGTTAAACTATTAAATTATCTCATCCAGTTTAAGAGTACTTAAGTAAATGTTTAGTTCAGTTCAAATCCGATTGTTTGAGCTCAGAGCAATCGCAGACTCTTTTGTCTGATTATTTTCTACAAATAAATTAGTTAATAAATAACCGATTAGTTGTTTTTACTCTCTTCAAACCAACTTCCTTGGCGTGTTGCTGTTTCATGAGATTTTGTTCCTCTTAATGGCAGCCTGTAAATGGTTAAAGGTCCTATCGTCCCTTTGACACCCAAATCCACAAGGACAATAATAAATCTGTTAAATTGAAATAGGAAAATGACGCCTCGCTGCTCCTGACAAGTTCATTTTGAAGACTTCAATGGGAAAGCCAAATGCATGCAGGCTCTAAATAAAACATGCTGCTGCTGCTGCGGGCTGATGTATATTTTTAGAAACGCAGCACAAAAAGCAGAAGTCAAAAATCCTTCTTGTTAATGAACATACGCAATTAATTCAGCTTTGTCAAATGTCTTAATCCAATCCTTCATACGTGGCTAGGGTTTTTATGATAATTGTTGCTATAGCAATGGAGGCAACTATTGGACTGTATACATTATTTGTGGTATGGAAGAGAAATATGATTCTGAATCTGTAATTGGTTATAACATCAGTGTATGAAAGGGGAAATGTGTTATTTAAAGTAACACATGGTATAACATTACCACACTTTTCTTATCAGTGTAAAAATTAAAAGACGCATCAAACAACAAATATGTAACATAATCCATTCATCAATCCATTTCTGGGTCGGGGGGTGGCAGTCATAGCACCAGCCCCTCACTGACCCTGCAGGTGCTGAGTCCACAGGAGGACGGCTGCTCTGTCAGTGTGAGCATAGCCTTGATCTTTCAGCAGGGGCTTTGGGCAACGTGGGGTTAAGTGTCTTGCCCAAGGACACAACGACAGCAGACATTATTGGGAGTTGGTGGAGAAGGAGTCAAGGTGGGAATTGAACCCACAACCTTCAGGCCAATGCTCTACCAACTGAGCTAATGTCGCCCAATATGTAACATCATTTGTGTTGATTTTGGCCCTTAACCCGTGTGCTATCCTCAAAAGTCAGTCAAATTGACCCGCCACAGTGATAAAAAATACTAAAACAAAATTAAAAAGGGTCTCCTTCTAATCACAAGCACAAGGGTTAAGCTGGGGTACCTACATTTAAAATCACAATGAAATCCATGTAATAGTTCCTGGCTCTAAAACAGTTCTATCACATGCATGTATTTTTAGGCCCTGAAACATTATAGATCAGCTTTTTCAGACAGAAATTTGAAAAAGACCCTCGCCCAACTGATTAAGTCAGTCCAAAGACTCAAGTAGTGACTCATGGGGTTCTCTGTTTACATATTCATGTTTCAGAATGTGATGTCACTTCTCAAGTTGAAACTCTTTACACACTATACATGTATGTTTGTGAAGAATGGGTTTTAAAGGTGCCACACATTTTCACAAACTTTTCCTCTGCACATGTTTGATAATAATTTGGGTGATATACCATACATTACTCAAAACTTGTCAAATTATAGCCATTTTGTGCATAGGTGATATCTCATGTGAGACGCTTGGATCAGTGCTCCTCTGCCTGTGAGCCCGCCTCCCCCCGAATCCGGGATCTACCAGCAGATGATGGTGGTGGCGCAAACCAGCGTTGAACGGACACCCTCAGGTCCCGGACTGCAAGCCAGAAGCACTCCAGCCCCGCTCCGGGCTCCAGTCTGCATGCACCTGGCCAAAGAGGGGCAGAGGTGAACGACTGAGACGCACCGGCCGCGGCATGCGACCTGCAGCATGCGACCTGCAGCAGGAGTGGTGAAGCGAAAAGGGCAGCCAGGGCCGCAAACAGCCACGGCCAGTCGAGGAAGCAGAGAACGAAACGCCTGAGCAGTGAGCAGACCACAGAGGTGCAGCGCGTACTCTGTGTGCGGGTGACGAGTGAGACTTGCGGCATGAAGGAAGCTGCTGCTTGGATGGAGCTTCTGCGTGATATGAAGCTGATGCGGGCAGAGTCTGATGCTGCAGGTGAGGATTTGCGCTGCGCAGCTGAGTGTGATTGACAGATTACTGTTGCCCACAGCAACAGCAGGAGAACTGAGCGCTCGGAGCTGGGTCCTCAGGTCTTCCACTCTGGATTTCCGCTTTAGCTTCATTAAACTTTTTCCAACAATGGCAACCCGTAACATAGAGACCTGCACTGCAAAAAGTCCCTTGCTAGAAACAAGAGCAAAAACATCTGCCAATGGAGTAAGATTGTGTTCCTTGTCTAGAATTCTTGTTTTAAAGATGTTTTTCCCCTATATTCCCAATACATTAGGAAAAATATATATATATTTGTTGATTTAAGCAATTTTCTTCCAATAAAAAAGGTCATATTTAAACAAATATATTCTAATTATTGCATAATTTTAGGAAATATGCTTAAATAAATTTAAGGATGAATTTGCTTGTTTTCTGCTCTTTGTAGCAGCCTTTTTCTATTTTTAGACTAAATTGGCTTAATAAGCAAAATAATATAAGCAATACATATGTTATGATCAAAGAAGTGAACCCAAATGCAAAGGACAGGTTTACTGTCCTTTTAGGGTTTATTAACAGGAATGAAGGTTGGGCTGGTAGAGTGAGCAGGAGCTGGAACAGGAGCTGGAGTGAAGTGGCTGCAACTGGCACAAGAATCTGAGAGCAGCACAAAAAATTAGATCAGACGAGGGCCTCAAAAACTTAGCAAAAATAGCAAAAGGCCTGAGGTGTTGTCTGACGACGTAGACTGAGGACCTGACAGAGGACTGAGGAAATGCCCAGGCTTAAACACAGAGATGATTAGAGATGAGGGGCAGGTGTGCAGGACAGGAACAGGGAGCAGGAACAGCCACGCCCACAGCAGCAGGGACAGCCACACCCACATCAGCAGGAACAGCCACGCCCACAGCCACGCCCACAGCAGCAGGGACAGCCACGCCCACAGCAGCAGGGACAGCCACGCCCACAGCCACGCCCACAGCAGCAGGAACAGCCACGCCCACAGCGCAGCAGGAACAGCCACGCCCACAGCCACGCCCACAGCAGCAGGAACAGCCACGCCCACAGCAGCAGGAACAGCCACGCCCAAAGCCACGCCCACAGCAGCAGGGACAGCCACGCCCACAGCAGCAGGAACAGCCACGCCCACAGCAGCAGGAACAGCCACGCCCACAGCCACGCCCACAGCAGCAGGGACAGCCACGCCCACAGCAGCAGGGACAGCCACGCCCACATCAGCAGGAACAGCCACGGCCACAGCAGCAGGGACAGCCACGCCCACAGCAGCAGGGACAGCCACGCCCACATCAGCAGGAACAGCCACGGCCACAGCAGCAGGGACAGCCACGCCCACATCAGCAGGAACAGCCACGCCCACAGCAGCAGGGACAGCCACGCCCACAGCAGCAGGGACAGCCACGCCCACATCAGCAGGAACAGCCACGGCCACAGCAGCAGGGACAGCCACGCCCACAGCAGCAGGGACAGCCACGGCCACAGCAGCAGGGACAGCCACGCCCACATCAGCAGGAACAGCCACGGCCACAGCAGCAGGGACAGCCACGCCCACAGCAGCAGGGACAGCCACGGCCACAGCAGCAGGGACAGCCACGCCCACAGCAGCAGGGACAGCCACGCCCACATCAGCAGGAACAGCCACGGCCACATCAGCAGGAACAGCCACGCCCACATCAGCAGGGACAGCCACGGCCACAGCAGCAGGGACAGCCACGCCCACATCAGCAGGAACAGCCACGGCCACAGCAGCAGGGACAGCCACGCCCACAGCAGCAGGGACAGCCACGGCCACAGCAGCAGGGACAGCCACGCCCACAGCAGCAGGGACAGCCACGCCCACATCAGCAGGAACAGCCACGGCCACAGCAGCAGGGACAGCCACGCCCACAGCAGCAGGGACAGCCACGGCCACAGCAGCAGGGACAGCCACGCCCACATCAGCAGGAACAGCCACGGCCACAGCAGCAGGGACAGCCACGCCCACAGCAACAGGGACAGCCACGCCCACATCAGCAGGAACAGCCACGGCCACAGCAGCAGGGACAGCCACGCCCACAGCAGCAGGGACAGCCACGGCCACAGCAGCAGGGACAGCCACGCCCACATCAGCAGGAACAGCCACGGCCACAGCAGCAGGGACAGCCACGCCCACAGCAGCAGGGACAGCCACGGCCACAGCAGCAGGGACAGCCACGCCCACATCAGCAGGAACAGCCACGGCCACAGCAGCAGGGACAGCCACGCCCACAGCAGCAGGAACAGCCACGCCCACAGCAGCAGGGACAGCCACGGCCACAGCAGCAGGGACAGCCACGCCCACAGCAGCAGGGACAGCCACGCCCACATCAGCAGGAACAGCCACGGCCACAGCAGCAGGGACAGCCACGCCCACATCAGCAGGAACAGCCACGGCCACAGCAGCAGGGACAGCCACGCCCACAGCAACAGGGACAGCCACGCCCACATCAGCAGGAACAGCCACGGCCACAGCAGCAGGGAACAGCCACGCCCACAGCAGCAGGGACAGCCACGCCCACAGCAGCAGGAACAGCCACGCCCACAGCAGCAGGGACAGCCACGCCCACAGCAGCAGGGACAGCCACGCCCACATCAGCAGGAACAGCCACGGCCACAGCAGCAGGGACAGCCACGCCCACAGCCAGGAACAGCCACGCCCACAGCAGCAGGGACAGCCACGCCCACAGCCACGCCCACAGCAGCAGGGACAGCCACGCCCACAGCAGCAGGAACAGCCACGCCCACAGCCACGCCCACAGCAGCAGGAACAGCCACGCCCACAGCCACGCCCACAGCAGCAGGGACAGCCACGCCCACAGCCACGCCCACAGCAGCAGGAACAGCCACGCCCACAGCCACGCCCACAGTAGCAGGGACAGCCACGCCCACAGCCACAACCACGCCCACAGCAGCAGGAACAGGAGGGAGGGGGTGAGGAGCTCACAGTGAGCTCAAACCAAAACAATATCAGATGCTATTGTGGACTGTACTCCATGTCACAGTTTTGTACAAACATGTGACATATGTGTCCATTAAATATGATGTTGGAGACGTGATCGTACTCACAGGCCGAGGCTCCTGTTAGCGTCTTTTATGTTGGGAATAACACATGCATGTTTCCAGCTCAGCTTTTGAGTAGGTTCCATTTCAAGGTAACTCTAGTTCTGGAACAGTCTTTGGTGGTGTCACCGTCACTCACAAAGAAACATCTACGAGTTTCGTTGCGGATTTCAGACTCACAAATACGGGGCATATTTCCATAAACTTTTTCTCCAAGTTTACATGAAGCTAACACAGAAAAGCACGGACGCTTTTTTTCTCGGAGAGAGGCTGCCTGGGCTGACTATAGACGGTGCTGACTCGCTGGTTCAGTTTCTCCCCTGCTGTCAATCACCTCCTGCAGTTGGGCTTTTGACGTCACGGATTGGTGCACGTCAAGATTTGAAACAGCTCGTTTCTGTGCCTCTCGAGAATGAAAGAAAAAAATCGCTCTCTCACTAAAGCTTGAGTAGCCTGGCCTTATCCATCCGTACTCTCCGCTCAATCATCATTTCACTGCATGTAACGTGTGGGTCTGATCCCTGTGTTAGCGATTACAATCGGTTGAATTTCGAAGGCGGGTGTTGTAGTTAGTTGTGGGTGATGTCAAGAGTTTGCGTCGAACGGGAAGGTCGTAGTTTGGCGATGGCAAAGAATGCGATAGTAAAGTAATCTGGTCTGGTTCTATCAAGAAATTGAAGCCGGAGCAAGAGGAATGTTTAGAAAATGTAATCACTAGAATAAATTGTGGCGCTACTCCCCACGGGCTCCGTTAGCGAAAAAGGAGATGGCTAGGCTAAATGCTAAATGCTTCGCTAAATGCTTCGCTTCTATCTGCAAAAGGAGTTAACCCCTCCCACCTGTAAACGGAGTCAATGAAGTACGAAATGTCATTTGTACTATGGTGTGGTATGACCAGGCTAAATCTTGAGGGAATCAAAGAAAAAAACCCTCTGGGCATGTGTATGAAGGGCAAAGAGCACTGTAATCATCACCTTTAGATAAGACCTCAGGGTTCTTAGTTCTATTATCAGAGGGTGGTGTGAATCTCATTATTCCCAACGTTAACATGGAGTAAATACAGCCACACGATTGCAGGCAATGCATTGGTAATAAAAGGCAGTGAACAGCTCTGAACATGACAGATTCATAATAATGTACCGGGTTTGACACAGAAGCATTTAGACAGAAAGGGCGAGGGGACCTGTTTGGGCCAGAAGTTCCTGATATTTGTGTGCATAGATCTAAAAATAACTCCAGCTCTGTTGATGAGGAATGAAAAATATCAAATGCAATGGTGAAGCTGCGACATCGTGCCTTTGTCAGATATCACTGATCAAAATATTCCAGCTTTGGCAAAATAACATAGAATTTAGAATAATAACCAGTCATTTTGTGTGTGAAATGTTAGTGAGTAGTGAAAAGAATGGGCCTCATTCACGAACGGTTCTTAGGAACAGATTTGTACGTAAATCCTACTTACGCGGTTTTTACGAAGAAAGTGGCATTCACGAATATTTCTCGTAACCAGAATTTCTCTTGGGCAAGTACAAATCCTACGAGTCCTCAGGAGCACTCGTACGCATTCAGTGCCGACATGTTCACACGCCGGGGTTGTCCTCTTTGGTGAAGTTGAATAAAAATACAACATTCCAGTGATATGTCCGTCATATCGATGTATGTATTTATTTATTTGTAGTAATCTTTATTAGTAATCTTTATTTATATACCGCCTTTTTCACTGCAGATCTGGCCTACTTTTTAATTCATTTTGAAATGAAATGTGCCAACGCTTTATCAAATACATTGGAAATCTTGCCGTGTATTAGTGACCCCTTCCTATTTATAGGGGGCATTTCTTTATCCACGGGCCACAGAACAACGGCATATATACTGCTGCTGCAGGAGGTTACTGGGTCCGCGCTGAGTCTCTGCGCTGGTCTCTCCTATGGATCTATACGGGTCTGCACTGGTCTCTCCCATGGATCTAGACGGGTCTGCACTGGTCTCTCCCATGGCTCTAGACGGGTCTGCACTGGTCTCTCCATACGGGTCCGTGCTGCATGCTCCTGGATCCATACGGGTCCGCGCTGGTCTCTCAAGTCTGGTCTATGCGGTCTATCTTCGGTCCGCGCTGGTCTCTGCGCACCGGTCTCTCCAGTCAGGTCACTCCAGTCTATGCGGTCTCTCCTATAGGTCCGCGCTGGTTTCTGTGTGCTGGTCACTCCAGTCTCTCCTCGGGTCTGCATTGGTCTCAGCGCTGGTCCGCGCTGGATCTCCTCCCAGGGTCCAAAATATTTTGAGATTAATCTCAAAACATTTTGAGATTCATCTTTAAAATAATACATAATATATTTTTAAATTAAGCTCATAACATTTTGAGATTAATCTCATCATATTCTTAGATTAATCTCATAATCTTGCTAGTTCGACTTTATTATCATAATATTTCGACTTTTAAGTCAACATTTTATAACTTTATTCTCAGTCTGGTAAAAGAAGAAAAAAGGGTGACTCTTTTGCTCCGTGGCCTGTTGCTTTAGGCCTGTTGCTGTTTCCTCTGCCGTCTGCACACGGCCCTGCAGTCCCTTATATGGGCATTAGTGGGCGGTTACTTATGCTAAGTACCTATGCTAATGAAGCACCTGGCACGCGCGCTGTACTTACGAGGAAATGGGATTCATCAATCTAAGAGAACAGCTGCGAACAATTCAGCGGCTTACGAGTGCGTTGATGAATCCCACGTAGGGACTTCTTAGAAATCTACTTAAGGACAACTTGAGAAGAAAGTTGAGTAGTTTCTTACGAAGTTATTCGTGAATGAGGCCCATTGATAGAGGTGGTAGTTTCAATTAACTTTTTTTCTTCCTAATTGCTTAATTACCCAATATGTGGTAAATTAAATCCATGTAACTTCCAAACGGCATCTGTCACATCTTAAGATCAGCTTTTTTTGGGAGAAAAGAGAAGAGCGGGTGGTCACTATACAAGTGTGCCAAAGAGAACATTTTGTGGTGTTGGAACACCTCTAATTTTATATTGTCAACAACTCGTTAGCTAAAATTAAGTAAGTAAGTAATGTTTATTTATATAGCGCATTTTACAGATCCAAGGTACAGACCCAAAGCACTTTCCAATGTTCAGAGTCAGATATTGTTCCAATCCTTCCACACACGGTGATGACAGAAGCGAGTCCAGAACACACTGGACCATCAAAGCCTCTGACCCAACACCATCCTTCACTCTCTCATTTACATTCAGACCTATTGTGCATGTTTTTAGTGGTAGGGGAAACCGGAGCACCCGGAGGAAACCTACGCAGACACAGGCAGAACATGCAAACTCCCCTCAGAAGGCCCTGTTCCGACCGGGATTCGAACCCAGGACCTTCTTGCTGAGAGGCGAGAGTGCTAAATCAAAATCAAATCAATTTTATTTGTATCGCCCGAAATCACAACAACAGTCGTCTCAAGGGGCGTCACAGAACCGCCAACTCGCAACGGCTGTGGACCAGTCCTCAGGTCCAGGGAGTCAGGGTTTCGAGTCCCACCAGCGCGTCATGAAACAGAGAGAGGGACAACAGGTGAACAGCAATGAAAAAACGAAATTTAAGCATTTAAGTAAGTAAGTAAGTAAGTAAGCTTTATTTATATAGCGCCTTTCACAGACCAGAGTCACAAAGCGGTTTACAATTGTTATTATTTTTGGGCACTTGTCTCTCACTCCACACAGAGATGGGAGCGGGGCCAGTACAGGAGGCGCATGCCGGTAACACTTTACATTACGGGCCGGTAAGTCCATGGTACTTACAGTGGTACTTCTAGGTACTTACAGTGGTACTTCTAGGTACTTACGGTGGTACTTACGGTGGTACTTACGGTGGTACTTACTGTGGTACTTACGGTGGTACTTACGGTGGTACTTACGGTGGTACTTACGGTGGTACTTACGGTGGTACTTACGGTGGTACTTACGGTGGTACTTACAGTGGTACTTACGGTGGTACTTACGGTGGTACTTACGGTGGTACTTACAGTGGTACTTACAGTGGTACTTACAGTGGTACTTCTAGGTACTTACAGTGGTACTTCTAGGTACTTACGGTGGTACTTACGGTGGTACTTACGGTGGTACTTACGGTGGTACTTACGGTGGTACTTACGGTGGTACTTACGGTGGTACTTACGGTGGTACTTACAGTGGTACTTACGGTGGTACTTACGGTGGTACTTACGGTGGTACTTACGGTGGTACTTACGGTGGTACTTACAGGGGTACTTACGGTGGTACTTACGGTGGTACTTACGGTGGTGCTTACAGTGGTACTTACAGTGGTACTTACAGTGGTACTTACAGTGGTACTTCTAGGTACTTATAGGTACTTACAGTGGTACTTCTAGGTACTTATTGTGGTACTTACAGTGGTACTTCTAGGTACTTACAGTGGTACTTAGAGGTACTTATTGTGGTACTTACAGTGGTACTTCTAGGTACTTATTGTGATAATTCTAGATACAGCTGTAACTTAGTAATTCAAGGACACTACAGTATTAT